AGCAGCAGGCGCTGCAGCAAGCCCGAGAAGCTTTCAAAGAAGCTGCTGCAGCACTTGAGGACTTGGGCGAAAAAGAATTCAAAGCAGCAGTTCCGAGTCTGCGCAATTTGCTGCGCCTCATCAACTCCTGGGCCAGCGACTCCAAACGCGTCCTCATTTCCCCCTAAACCCTAAACCCTAAACCCTAAACCCTAAACCCTAGGCCCTAGGCCCTAGGCCGTAGGCCCTCGAGGCCGAAGGGGCAGCAAACGAATCGCCAAGGGCCATTCCTCTCCAGCAGCTTTCTCCAGTACGCAACTCGCCGACGCGTTCTTACCCACAAACCCTAAACCCTAAACCCTAAACCCTAAACCCTAAACCCTAGGTTTAGGCCGTGGGCCCGGGGACCCGCACCGGCGAGCGCCAGGTGCCGCCAAGGTAAACCCTAAACCCTTTTTTTCTGTTGCGGATGCTCGTGGGTTCGAAGAAACCCTAAACCCTTGCAAAACCCTAAACCCTCGAGAAACCCTAAACCCTTCGTGGGCCCTCTCCACGCCTGCGGCTGGTAACCCGGAACCCTTATGTTGCTCCAAATTCAGGGTTTAGGGTTTAGGGTTTAGGGTTTAGGGTTTAGGGTTTAGCTTTCTGCTGCTGCGCTTCTGCGGCTGAACTTCGAATCTTAAACCCTAATCACTTCGTTTCTTGATGCTTTTTTCTTGCGTTCTTAGAAGCAAACCCCAAACCCTAAACCCTAAACCCTAAACCCTAATTTGTGCAGCAGTGTGCTTCAAACCCTAGGACTCACACCTTCGGGCTATTCAGGAGTTTTGAGCTCAGGCCACGTGGTTAGAGGGTTTAGGGTTTAGGGTTTAGTTTTGAAAACCCTAAACCCTAGAGTGAAAAACCCTAAACCCCAATATCGCGTCCGTCCCTTACAGGAAAGCAGAGAGTGACTGCTAGGCATCCCCCTTTGTCCGTTAGGGTTTAGGGTTTAGGGTTTAGGGTTTAGGGTTTAGGGTTTGGAAGCAAGTAGCGGGTGCGTGGGCACACTGCAGAAAGCAGCCTCTCAGCAAATTCCAACAGCGCAATTGATTTAAAAGAGCAATTAAGATTTAATTGAAATTAATTTAATTTTTAATTATTTTAAATTTAAATTTATTTTAAATTTAAATTTATTTAATTTAAATAATTAAAATTAAATTCAAAAAGTCAAAAGCGACGGCGGCAGGATTCGAACCTGCGCGGGCAGAGCCCAGTAGATTTCTAGTCTACCTCCTTAACCACTCGGACACACCGCCAGGCCCGCTTGAAACGAGGGTTTAGGGTTTAGGGTTTAGGGTTTAGGGTTTAGGGTTTGGGGTTTGGGGTTTAGGGTTTGGAGTTTAGGGTTTGACGTAGGATCTCGTGCCATACTCGACACTTTGCACGCTGTTGGCTTACGGTAAAGGTTTAGGGTTTAGGGTTTAGGGTTTAGGGTTTAGGGTTTTCACAGGGCGCCTTAGAAGACTCTAGGGTTTCGGGTTTAGGATTTAGGCTTTAGAGTGTAGAGTTTAGGATTTGGGGTTTGAAGGGTGTAGGGTTTAGGGTTTACAGGGTTAAGGGTTTAGGGTTTACACAGTTCAGCTTTTAGGGTTTACGAGGCCTAGGGTTTAGGGTTTAGACCCAAGCTTGCATTGGGTCCGGCGTTTCAAGTGAAATCTCAAAAAGGACGATTGAGGGTTTAGGGTTTAGGGTTTAGGGTTTAGGCTCGAAGGCTAATATTTATTTTTTAATTTAGGGTTTAAAATTGAGGTCTGCAGAGAGCTGCTGCTGCATGCAGCCGGTGCTGGACTGTGGCAGTTTATCTGTGAGGGTTTACTGAGGGTTTAGGGTTTAGGGTTTAGGGTTTAGGGTTTGTGCTACGAAAGAATAAAAGGCAAGGAAGCGCAGTCAGCAGGTGTCCGCACACCCCGAAACCGCTTGCGAACTGGTCTCAAAATAAACCCCTAAACCCTAAACCCTAAACCCTAAACCCTAAACCCTAAACCCTAGCCAGTGAGCAGCCTAGGGCCACACTAGGAAAAGCGGAATTCCTCCTCTAAAGGATTTAATTGACGAAGTACAAAAGACTAAAAAGGCTTTTCTTCAGTTTACTTAATCCCTCGCTGCAGCAGCAGCAGCAGCAGCTGCTGCTGCTGCTGCTGCTGCAGCAGCAGCAAAATGACTTCAAAATGAAATCTTTTAATTCTTTCTCCAAAAGCGACGGCGGCAGGATTCGAACCTGCGCGGGCAGAGCCCAGTAGATTTCTAGTCTACCTCCTTAACCACTCGGACACACCGCCAGGCCCAAGCGAGGGTTTAGGGTTTAGGGTTTAGGGTTTAGGGTTTAGGGCTTGGGGTTTGGGGTTTGGGCTTGAGAGCGCCTCTGAACGCCGATTTTCGAGTTGTCTTCAGGTGGAGGGTTTAGCGCTTAGGGTTTAGGGTTTAGGGTTTAGGGTTTAGGGTTTAAGTGGTTGGTCTTCCCGCTGCAATGACGCGGTGTACATACACCTGAACAAAACTCAACAAGCACCTGCAGCCCAATTAGCAGCATTTAATTGCGAAGTAAAATCAAAAAAGAAACAAATTAAAAAAATAAATAAATAAACAACTTGTTTCAGCTTCAGAGCGCCGCAACTCCCAAACCCTAAACCCTAAACCCTAAACCCTAAACCCTAAACCCTCGCTTGGGCCTGGCGGTGTGTCCGAGTGGTTAAGGAGGTAGACTAGAAATCTACTGGGCTCTGCCCGCGCAGGTTCGAATCCTGCCGCCGTCGCTTTTGGAAAAAGAATTAAAAGAATTCATTTTGAAGTCATTTTGCTGCTGCTGCAGCAGCAGCAGCAGCAGCTGCTGCTGCTGCTGCAGCGAGAGATTAAGTAAACTGAAGGAAAGCCGCAGGTTCGAATCCTGCCGCCGTCGTTTTTGGAAAAAGATTTTAAAAAATGAAAGAGAAATGCACAGCTAAACCCTGCAAAAGCAGCAGCAGCAGCAGCAGCAGCAGCAGAAGCAACAGCAGCAGCAGCAGCAGCAGAAGCAACAGCAGCAGCAGCAGCAGAAGCAGCAGCAGCAGCAGCACCGGCAGCAGCAGCAGCAGCCAGCAGGATGAGCTGCAGCTGGCGGCGGCTGCAGCTGACGCTGCAGCTGCAGCAGCTACAGCTGCAGCCACAGCAGCAGCTGCAGCCACAGCAACAGCCGCAGCGGCAGCAGCAACAGCTGCTGCTGCTGCTGCAGCACCAACTATTGCAGCTGCTTGCTGCTGCTGCTGCTGCTGCTGCAGCAGCACAATGAAATTTTAAGAGCAGCAAAAAAGGAGCTTAGTGTTTTCGGGTGTACATACGTTTCTTCTTTACTTCCACTAAAAAACAAGCCAGGAAGAACCCTAAACCCTAAACCCTAAACCCTAAACCCTAAAAAACCAGCCACAGCAGACACCTCATGCTCAGAGCTTAAACCCTAAATCGTGGTTGCCCCAACAAATGATCCATCCCTTAAACCCTAAACCCCAAACCCTAAACCAAACCCTAAACCCTAAGCCCCAAGACCTAAACCCTAAACCCTAAACCCTAAACCCTACTGAGACCCGGTAGCGACCTCATTCGTATCTCCTGTAAAAACTGGAAGCAAACTACAAGTCGCTAAACCCCAAACCCTAAACCCTAAACCCTAAACCCTAAACCCTAAACCCTAAACCCATCGATTTTCTCGTGAACTCCTCGCGAAAAAGCTGGAAACCAACTAAAAGTGTTTTGAATTCGAACTATTTCTTTTTAATTCCAAATAAAAAGAATTAAACAATTATATTTCTTTTAATTCAAAATAAAAAAGAATTTAAAAAATAAAAAATAAAAACTCTTGTGGCGGTGTGTCCGAGTGGTTAAGGAGGTAGACTAGAAATCTACTGGGCTCTGCCCGCGCAGGTTCGAATCCTGCCGCCGTCGAAAACCCTAAAAAAGGGTTTTTGAATTATTTACTTCACTACTTACAAAACCAAACCCTAAAAAAGGGTTTTTGAAGTATTCACTTCATTACTTACAAATAAACCCCAACAAAGTCAATTCCCACCTTTTCAAACCGCTAAATCAGCCCTACTACACGCTGCTGCAGCTGCTGCTGCTGCTGCTGCTGCTGCTGCTGCTGCTGCTGCTGCTGCAGGCAGGCTGTCGGCAGCGCCGCAGCAGCTGCTGCGGGCCCCACAGCTGCTGCGCGGCTTCAAAGAGGGGCTTTGCATGCAAAAGAAGTAAATTGGAAGTTCAAAAGATGAAAAGAAATAAAAATGGAAAATAAAAAAGAAAAAAAAGAAATAAAAAAGAAAAAAAAGAAAATAAAAAAGAAATAAAAGAAAATAAAAAAGAAATGAAATAAAACGACGGCGGCAGGATTCGAACCTGCGCGGGCAGAGCCCAGTAGATTTCTAGTCTACCTCCTTAACCACTCGGACACACCGCCGGACTTGTCTTTTTTTTTGAATTCTTTTTTGAATATATAAATTATTTATTTATTTATTTATTTATTTCTTTTTAATAAATAAAATAATTAATTTATTTCTTTTTTGCTGCTGCAGTTCAAATTCGAAGTCGCCGGCGGCGGCTGCAGGCGCTCCGCGCTGCATGCACGGGGTGTATGTACACCTGGTCCAGTGGCGGATCGGACAGAAAGTAAATTCTTTTTCTTCAAATTCAAAATTAAATTAATTTAAAAGTCCAATTAAAAGCTTTTGGATATCTGGCTTGTCTTAACACTTTGCAGTTCTCCCGCCAGGGCCTTGCTGCTGCTGCTGCTGCTGCGAGACTCTGCTGCTGCAGCAGCTGCTGCTGCTGTTGGCTTCGGCGGCAGCCGCAGCAGCCGCTGCACCTGCTGCAGCTGCTGCAGCAACAAGACACCTGCTGCTGCCAAACTGACCCGGACTCTTCCATCTCACCCCCCTACTGCCCCCCAAAGTCGGCTGCAGCTGCTGCTGCTGCTGCTGCTGCTGCTGCTGCTGCTGCTGCTGCTGCTGCTGAGGATGCCGCTGCAGGAGAAAGGGTCGCTGCGCCGTCGCGCTGGCAGCAGGCCAGCCCGTGAGCGTGCGGAGGCGTCGCGGCACAGCAGCAGCAGCAGCAGCAGCAGCAGCAGCAGCAGCAGCGGCAGCAGCAGCAGCAGCGAGAGCGAGTTTGCTGGGGATAAAGAGGCCACGGGGAGCTTAGAAGGAGAAGAATCGGAAGCAGCAGCAGCAGCAGCAGCAGCAGCAGACCTCGGAGCAGATGGAGATGATGACATAAGGCCCTGCAGCAGCTTCGAGCGGCTGCTGCTGCAGCAGCCGCCGCCGCTGCAGCAGGAGCAGCTGCCGCTGTATCCTTTGCTGCTGGTGAGCTTCTGCTGCTGCTTCTGCTGCTGTAGCTGTCGCTGCTGCTGCTGCTGCAGTTGCTGCTGCTGCTGCAGCAGCTGCTGCTGCTGCTGCTGCGGTGTCTCCTTTTCTTCCTGCTGTTGCTGCTGCTGCGAAGCGGATCCGCGCAGTCCTTTAAAAACAATTAAATCTGATTTAATTTCAATTATTTATTTAAAAAGAAAATAAAAAAAATGTTTTAAATTTCATCACAGATTTGAAAAGGCTTTTCTTCTCTGGTGTCTTGCGGTGTACGTACACCTCACGTCCTTTTGGGGTTCTTTTTTTCATTTTATTTTTTTTAATTTTATTTATATTACAATAAATTTATTTAATTAAAAGGTGCATCTTTTAACAATTCCTTTTAAATAAATAAATAAATAAAATGCCATTTTGAATTAATTTTTCTTCTGCTGCATTTATTTTGTATGTTTGCCCCTGCTGCTGCTGCTGCAGCAGCAGCAGCAGCTGCTGCTGCTGCTGCTCGGTTACTGTGACAGAATACAGTGGTGCAGGGTTCAGGGATTGGGGTCTAGGGCTAAGGGTTTAGGGTTTAGGGTTTAGGGTTTAGGGTTTAGGGTTTAGGGTTTAGACTGCTCTGCTTACGGGAAGCCCTGAAAGTGCATGCACAGTGAAGGGTTAAACAGAGTGCTAAGAAAGCCAGCAGCAGTTTGCTGCTGCAGCTATTTGCAGCTGCTGCTGCAGCAATTTGCTGCAGCAGCAGCCGCATCTACTTGCTGCTGCTGCTGCATCTACTTGCTGCTGCTGCAGCTGCTGCATCTACTTGCTGCTGCAACTGCACCAACTTGCTGCTGCTGCTGCACTTACTTGCTGCTGCTGCTGCTGCATCCACTTGCTGCTGCTGCTGCTGCTGCAGTTTGCTGCTGCTGCTGCTGCTGCTGCTGCTGCATGCAGGCGGTGACCTTGACAGTGGCTGGCTTGAGTTTCTTGTGCAGCGGAGTGGCAGCTTTTGTCTCCGAAGGACTTTTTGTTTCTTTTCATTATTTGCTGCTGGCCTTTTTGTGTCTTTGTCCCGGCCTTTTCCATTTGCTGCTGCTGCTGCTCATTGCCTTCAAGGTCCCGGGATTCTCGTACGACTTGCTCCGCTGAGCTAGCCACAGCTAGCTAGCCACAGCTAGCTAGCCACAGCTAGCTAGCCACAGCTAGCCAGCAGCTAGCTAGCCGCAGCTAGCCAGCAGCTAGCTAACCACAGCTAGCCAGCAGCTAGCTAGCCACAGCTAGCCAGCAGCTAGCTAGCCGCAGCTAGCTAGCCATGGCTAGCTAGCCACAGCTAGCTAGCCACAAGCTGGCTAGCCGCCAGGTAGCTGGCCAGCAGCTAGCTAGCCAGAGCTAGCTAGCTGCCATCTAGCTGGCCAGCAGCTAGCTAGCCA